CTCTGTACACACATACACACACACATGAACACATACATACACATGTACCACTACCCTAAGTAAAAAGTCCAGAAGTAAGTGAATCTTCTGAACAGTTTCATTAGGTTTTTGGCTCAATTTTTCAGAAATATTGTCTAGGTTCTGGCTTCCAAAACTTCTACAAAGTCTTGTGTTTTGCCTGCTGTGATAACAGAGAGAAAAAAATTCTGCTGCGATATAGGTATCATACTAGACTATGCTATCCAGAAAACAAAAGAATATCTCTTTTTCATTCTTCTTTTTCATTGATCAATTGCCCTGGGTTTTATTTATTTATTTATTTATTTATTTATTTATTTATTTATTTATTTATTTATTTATTTTGGTTTTTCGAGACAGGGTTTCTCTGTGTAGCTTTATGTCTTTCCTGGAACTCACTTGGTAGTCAGTCCAGGCTGGCCTTGAACTCACAGAGATCTGCCTGGCTCTGCCTCCCGAGTGCTGGGATTAAAGGCGTGCGCCACCACCGCCCGGCTTAAATTTATTTTTAAAACAGGGTCTCTCCATATACCCCGGCTGTCCTGGAACTCAGTATGTGTACCAGCCTGGCCTTGAACTCACAGAGATCCACCTGCCTCTGACTTTCAAGTGCTGGGATCAAAGGTGTGTGCCACCACCACCTGGTCCTGCCCTGGATTTTTGTGTGTTTTTATTTTATTTTATTTTACAATACAATTCAGTTCTACATATCAGCCACGGATTCCCATTCTCCTCCCCCTGCCCCCTCCCCTTCCCCCCAGCCCAGCCCCCATTCCCACCTCCTCCAGGGCAAAGCCTCCCCCAGGACTGAGATCAACCTGGTAGACTCAGTCCAGGCAGGTCCAGTCCCCTCCTCCCAGGCTGAGTCAAGCGACCCTGCATAAGCCCCAGGTTTCAAACAGCCAACTCATGCAATGAGCACAGGACTCGGTCCCACTTCCTGGATGCCTCCCAAACAGATCAAGCCAATCAACTGTGTCTGATCCAGTTGGGGGCCCCTCAGCCATTGGTTCATAGTTCATGTGTTTCCATTCGTTTGGCTATTTGTCCCTGTGCTTTATCCAACCTTGGTTTCAACAATTCTCGCTCATATAAACCCTCCTCTTTCTCGCTAATGCCCTGGGTTTTTAATAACTAGAAAGACTGGAGATCTGGCTCAGCAGTTAAGCACTCGTTGCTCCTGCCGAGGACCTGAGTTCATTTCCCAGTACCCACAAGGTGGCTCCCAACCATCTGTAACTCCAGTTCCAGTGGATCTGATGCCCTCTTCTGACTCCTTCAGACACCAGGCATGTATGTGGTTGCACATTCACACATGCAGGCAAAACATTCATACACAGAAAATAAATGTTAAAAGTAACTAGGCAGGACATAGCACAGTAGACTCTAAAACTGGACGTCATTATTTTTCTAGCTGCATTGTTTTGGGAAAGTTAACCTCTTCTGTGACTGCTTTCTCGCCTGTGGGGATTTTAGTAATACTTCCTTCATAAGGCTGTTATTAAGGGGATTAAGTAAGCTTGAAAAGCCGTCAGTACACTGCCTGGTAACTAGTTAGTGCTCCATAACTGTTAGCTAGTGTTGCCAACATATTTCCTTCGGAACACCTCCCTTCAAATTCTTATTTCCTTAGATTGTTTTAGGCAATACTGAGAGTCTTTCTGACATTTCTTTGTTGAATTTGTTATAGCCAACTATAAAACAAACATTAAACGAGGGGTCTACTATTTTATGCACTGAAGGGCAAATAAAACAGACAACAGCCTGTCCTTACATTCATCACACTGTAGTGGAAAGTGGGGTATGACAGACAGGCAATAAGCAAATATACAGATTTCCGGTGGGACATTGCTATGGAGAAGAAACCAGTGATAAAGGGTGTAAGTAGTGAAGGGATGCTATCTAAAATGTGGGCAGGTAAGACTTTTATTATTAATGTATTTTAAGATAGGATTTTGTTATATAGCCTTGGCTGGTCTGAGAGTTGATATGTAGACCAGGCTGGCCTCAAATTCCCAGAGATCTTCCTGTCCCTGCCTCCCAAGTGCGGGGTTTAGAAGCATGCACCACCACTCCTGACCACATAAGACTTCTTTTTGGAAAGCCTGAAGATGGTTGGCCATAGTGGTGCACGCCTTTAATCCCAGCACTCAGGAGGCAGAGGCAGAGAAATCTCTGGGAGTTTGAGGCCAGCTTGGTCTAAAATAGTGAGTTATGGGACAGCTAGAGAGCTATATAGTGAGACCTTGTCACAAAAAAACTTTAAAAAAAAAAAAAAAGAAGAAAAAGAAACTGTTAAGATGGTGAGGAGTGAGCTGTACCAATATCTAGAAGATGATATTTGAGGCCAACACAACAGCAAAGGCAAAGGCCCAGAAGAAGCAGTATCTTAAAAGACCAGGAAAAGGGCCAAAATGTAGCTGGAGCAAGATAGCAGGCTGAAGCTCCCACCACGTCAGAAGGGTAGCCAGTGATAAGTCAGGACCTTGAAGAACGTGAACACATCCTCCGTGCCAGTGAGCATCTCCTGCAATCTTACGACGGAAGCCACGAACAGAGCAGGGCCACAGCTGCAGCTTTCCTAACAGTGGGGTGGAAAGTTCAGATACTGGAGGTATCTGGAGAGAAGCAGGAAGTGAAAAGGCCACAACAGGTGTTAACGGACTGGTATATTCAAAGCCTGATGGTGGTGGTGGTGGTGGTGGTGCACACTGCTAATCCTTGGGAGGCAGAGGCCAGCCTGGTCTACAGAGCGAGTTCCAGGGCAGCCAGAGCTACACAGAGAAACCATGTTTTGAAAAAAACAACAAAACAAAAACAGACAGATGTATTCGAGCAAATACAGTAAGAGTAGTGCCTAGAGAAGGGAGTGAGGGGCAGGGGTAAAACAAGACAGAGTAGGCTGGCCTGGCTGATGGAAGTGTTTACTGAACACCAGACATTTCTTACTTAATCTGTGACAGGCACTGTACAGATTTGGGAACACAGTAAGGTACAGAAATCAGTAAAGAATTCCTGGTCTTGGCGCTGGGGAGACGGCTTAGTGGGCAAGAGTGATTGTTCTGCAAGGCTGAGACCCTGTTCGAATCACCCATTCCCCACCTAAAAAGGCCTGGCGTCGCTGCTTATTCCAGCAACTGGAAGGTAGAGGCAGAAGGATCAGGAGTTCAACATCACCCTTGGCTACAGAGCAAGCACAAGGCCAGACGGAGCTACACCAGTCCCCGGCTCAAACTCCCCGTCTCCTTCCCCAGAAGGTCATTAAATCACAGGTCTGAAGGGGATGGGAGAATCCAGCCTTCTGGGAGGTCTGTAGCTGGAGCCGACAATGGTCCTCTTGTGCTCCGAGAAGACCTCGGATTGTCTTGGAGAGGCCAGAGCGGGGATGTGGGTGGGAGACCGAAATGGGAGATCCTGACACAAGCAATATTTAGGAGGGAAAACCAACAGCCAGGCCAAGTAAGAAAACATTTCATCCAGCATGGGCAAAACTACTCGACTAAGCTTTTTTTTTTTCCCCTTTGAGGAGCAAGCACCCAGACCCGGGCCACGAAGCCTCTCCGCCCCACCCCAGCCTTCGCAGCGAGCGGCAGCCCCCTAATTCCTAGAAAGTGAAATAACCCGGCTCCAATTCCTCCACGACCCTGCCCGCACGGCCCGCAGCTACCCCGGGGGCCCCAGCTCCTGGCCTCGCCCACTCAAGCACCACCCCGCCGCTCCTCCGGGAGGATCCTCCTCCTCCTTCCGGCTCCCGCTCGTGGAGGGGTCCAGCCCAGACCCCCCCTCCCGCCGGCTCGCTGTGCTCCCAGGCCCGCCTCCTTCAGGCCCGCGGCAAGCTCGCGGCGCCCGGGCGGCTCTCGGC